TTTATTACGCCAATTGATAGATAATACAAGTACAAATAACTTTTCTTAATTCCATTTTGAATGCTATACATGAAATAAGGATTTTAGAGAGGGGTTGATATTTCATTATTTTTGGAGCTGGAAAATATTTTGTTTTTTCTTTAATTTTATTAAGCCAATCGATAGATAATACAAATACAAACAACTTTTCTTTATTCTATTTTGAATGCTATATATGAAATAAGAGTTTTAGAGAGGGGTTGATATTTCATTATTTTTGGAGCTGGAAAAGTTTTTGTTTTTTCTTTAATTTTATTACGCCAAAAAATAGATAATACAAATACAAACAACTTTTCTTAATTCCATTTTGAATGCTATATATAAAATAAGGATTTTAGAGAGGGGTTGATATTTTATTATTTTTGGAGCTGGAAAAGTTTTTGTTTTTTCTTTAATTTTATTACGCCAAAAAATAGATAATACAAATACAAACAACTTTTCTTAATTCCATTTTGAATGCTATATATGAAATAAGGATTTTAGAGAGGGGTTGATATTTCATTATTTTTGGAGCTGGAAAAAATTTTGTTTTTTCTTTAATTTTATTACGCCAATCAATAGATAATAAAATACAAACAACTTTTCTTAATTCCATTTTGAATGCTATATATGAAATAAGGATTTTAGAGAGGGGTTGATATTTCATTATTTTTGGAGCTGAAAAATATTTTGTTTTTTCTTTAATTTTATTACGCCAATCGATAGATAATACAAATACAAATAACTTTTCTTAATTCCATTTTGAATGCTATACATGAAATAAGGATTTTAGAGAGGGGTTGATATTTCATTATTTTTGGAGCTGAAAAAATTTTGTTTTTTCTTTAATTTTATTACGTCAATCGATAGATAATACAAATACAAACAACTTTTCTTAATTACATTTTGAATGCTATATATAAAATAAGGATTTTAGAGAGGGGTTGATATTTTATTATTTTTGGAGCTGGAAAGGTTTTTGTTTTTTCTTTAATTTTATTACGCCAAAAAATAGATAATACAAATACAAACAACTTTTCTAAATTCCATTTTGAATGCTATTTGTAAAATAAGGATTTTAGAGAGGGGTTGATATTTTATTATTTTTGGAGCTGGAAAAGTTTTTGTTTTTTCTTTAATTTTATTACGCCAATTGATAGATAATACAAGTACAAATAACTTTTCTTAATTCCATTTTGAATGCTATACATGAAATAAGGATTTTAGAGAGGGGTTGATATTTCATTATTTTTGGAGCTGGAAAAAATTTTGTTTTTTCTTTAATTTTATTACGCCAATCGATAGATAATACAAATACAAACAACTTTTCTTAATTCCATTTTGAATGCTATACATGAAATAAGGATTTTAGAGAGGGGTTGATATTTCATTATTTTTGGAGCTGGAAAATATTTTGTTTTTTCTTTAATTTTATTAAGCCAATCGATAGATAATACAAATACAAACAACTTTTATTTATTCTATTTTGAATGCTATATATGAAATAAGAGTTTTAGAGAGGGGTTGATATTTCATTATTTTTGGAGCTGGAAAAGTTTTTGTTTTTTCTTTAATTTTATTACGCCAAAAAATAGATAATACAAATACAAACAACTTTTCTTAATTCCATTTTGAATGCTATATATAAAATAAGGATTTTAGAGAGGGGTTGATATTTTATTATTTTTGGAGCTGGAAAAGTTTTTGTTTTTTCTTTAATTTTATTACGCCAAAAAATAGATAATACAAATACAAACAACTTTTCTTAATTCCATTTTGAATGCTATATATGAAATAAGGATTTTAGAGAGGGGTTGATATTTCATTATTTTTGGAGCTGGAAAAAATTTTGTTTTTTCTTTAATTTTATTACGCCAATCAATAGATAATAAAATACAAACAACTTTTCTTAATTCCATTTTGAATGCTATATATGAAATAAGGATTTTAGAGAGGGGTTGATATTTCATTATTTTTGGAGCTGAAAAATATTTTGTTTTTTCTTTAATTTTATTACGCCAATCGATAGATAATACAAATACAAATAACTTTTCTTAATTCCATTTTGAATGCTATACATGAAATAAAGATTTTAGAGAGGGGTTGATATTTCATTATTTTTGGAGCTGGAAAAAATTTTGTTTTTTCTTTAATTTTATTACGTCAATCGATAGATAATACAAATACAAACAACTTTTCTTAATTCCATTTTGAATGCTATATATGAAATAAGGATTTTAGAGAGGGGTTGATATTTCATTATTTTTGGAGCTGGAAAATATTTTGTTTTTTCTTTAATTTTATTACGCCAATTGATAGATAATACAAGTACAAATAACTTTTCTTAATTCCATTTTGAATGCTATACATGAAATAAGGATTTTAGAGAGGGGTTGATATTTCATTATTTTTGGAGCTGGAAAAAATTTTGTTTTTTCTTTAATTTTATTACGCCAATCGATAGATAATACAAATACAAACAACTTTTCTTAATTCCATTTTGAATGCTATACATGAAATAAGGATTTTAGAGAGGGGTTGATATTTCATTATTTTTGGAGCTGGAAAATATTTTGTTTTTTCTTTAATTTTATTAAGCCAATCGATAGATAATACAAATACAAACAACTTTTCTTTATTCTATTTTGAATGCTATATATGAAATAAGAGTTTTAGAGAGGGGTTGATATTTCATTATTTTTGGAGCTGGAAAAGTTTTTGTTTTTTCTTTAATTTTATTACGCCAAAAAATAGATAATACAAATACAAACAACTTTTCTTAATTCCATTTTGAATGCTATATATAAAATAAGGATTTTAGAGAGGGGTTGATATTTTATTATTTTTGGAGCTGGAAAAGTTTTTGTTTTTTCTTTAATTTTATTACGCCAAAAAATAGATAATACAAATACAAACAACTTTTCTTAATTCCATTTTGAATGCTATATATGAAATAAGGATTTTAGAGAGGGGTTGATATTTCATTATTTTTGGAGCTGGAAAAAATTTTGTTTTTTCTTTAATTTTATTACGCCAATCAATAGATAATAAAATACAAACAACTTTTCTTAATTCCATTTTGAATGCTATATATGAAATAAGGATTTTAGAGAGGGGTTGATATTTCATTATTTTTGGAGCTGAAAAATATTTTGTTTTTTCTTTAATTTTATTACGCCAATCGATAGATAATACAAATACAAATAACTTTTCTTAATTCCATTTTAAATGCTATACATGAAATAAAGATTTTAGAGAGGGGTTGATATTTCATTATTTTTGGAGCTGGAAAAAATTTTGTTTTTTCTTTAATTTTATTACGTCAATCGATAGATAATACAAATACAAACAACTTTTCTTAATTCCATTTTGAATGCTATATATGAAATAAGGATTTTAGAGAGGGGTTGATATTTCATTATTTTTGGAGCTGGAAAATATTTTGTTTTTTCTTTAATTTTATTAAGCCAATCGATAGATAATACAAATACAAACAACTTTTCTTAATTACATAGCATTCAAAATGGAAAATTTTTCCAGCTCCAAAAATAATGAAATATCAACCCCTCTCTAAAATCCTTATTTCATGTATAGAATTCAAAATGGAATTAAGAAAAGTTATTTGTATTTGTATTATCTATTTTTTGGCGTAATAAAATTAAAGAAAAAACAAAAACTTTTCCAGCTCCAAAAATAATAAAATATCAACCCCTCTCTAAAATCCTTATTTTATATATAGCATTCAAAATGGAATTAAGAAAAGTTGTTTGTATTTGTATTATCTATTTATTGGCGTAATAAAATTAAAGAAAAAACAAAATTTTTTCCAGCTCCAAAAATAATGAAATATCAACCCCTCTCTAAAATCTTTATTTCATGTATAGAATTTAAAATGGTATCAAGAAAAGTTGTTTGTATTTGTATTATCTATCGATTGGCTTGATAAAATTATAGAAAAAAAAATTTTCACCACCAAAAATATTGAAATTTCATCCCTTTAATTCCTTAATATAATTCTATAAGGGTTACTGAAAATAATTAACATTATTCTGAAGGTGTAGTAATCTTTAAACTAAAATTTAGAACGAATAATTGTTGTCGTAAAAGAATATTTTTCGACCGCTGGCGCTTTGAGCTCCGGCTGGTTTTGGAGCTGGCTGGCTAGGAGCTAACATGACACAGGTTATTTTAAACCATAGTGAATTGTAGTTTGTAGATATTCAACCAAAATTTCTTGGGTTAGTTTATAAAAACCTGTTTACTACCATATTTTGATTTTTTTACATTCGATTTCTTTTCCTGAATTTTCACCATTTCTTTGCTTCAACTTTTAGAGGGTATAAATAAAAGTATCGTTCTTTTTATATTTTAAATTTTTGTAGCTTGCCTGCAAGAGTATATTCCTCTGGTAATATCTTTTAGAGCTTCTTTAATCTCACATTTCTTTGTTTTTATTTTATAGTTTCGTACCATATTTTCAGCTGAAAAAATGCAAAATATAATATTAAATTGTTTATTAGCCTCAAAGATTTTTAATACATTACAAAAATAAAATAAATGTTCGTTCATGGGACTGACGAAAACTATCATCATATTAAGGTAAAATCATATACACAGCTTTAAAAATAATTTAAAACCACTCTCTTCTATTTCAAGATGCACTCGTAATTATAACTACTTCAAAGAAGTTTCTTGTATATTATTTAAAATAAATAAACGTTTCTTCTACATTTGTTGCCTTCATTTAAAATCTCAAAATATCAAGATGTAGGCTACCAGTTTAACATTTAGGAAAAATATGTGTTGCCTAACCTGGTAGGAAATGCATCAAAATGGCCGCGCCCTATGTTGGGCGTGTCCAATATATGTCATTGGGCGTGTCAGACGTCTCTCTTGCACCGTACTAATTTTCGGTCGCCAACTTAAAAAATAGTAAAAGAAAATCAAAGTATGTGCTTCTAAGTACTCAAATGAACGTACCTTAACAGTAATTTTATGACAATGTATCTATTCCAAACTTCAAATGTTTGACATAATAACTCCTGGCTCTCTGTTATTTTAAGTGTCTTATCGAAATATTATGTTGACACGATTTCGCAATTCTTCAAAAACCCTTTTTCGTTTATTAGTAAAGAAGTCTACTCTGAAACGATATGATTCAGACTGTACTTGCGGTACACCAAAATGGACAGGCACTTACAATGATTTACCGCAACCTGAATGCGATTGGAATAGAAAAAATGCAGAAAATCAAAAGAGGCACAATAAAAATTTCATTTTGGGAGTCGGGTTTTTGTTGGCTACTATTGCATTTGGATTTCCCACAGGTAAATAACGTAAACGTCTGTATTTTTAAATTAATTTAATTGGTATTGTTACATTTTGTTTGATTAACGTCTAATCTATTAAATTTAACGTTTTCCTACGCCAATAAACACAGAGCGAGTTCATAATCACATAATGTACAGACTTTTGATATTATTATAAATTCGGACTATATTATCCAGACTTTAGACTTACCTACTCTCAGTTCTATTTAATGGTCCCCACACTTCGTGTATTTTGAATGGTTACATTTATGCTAATAAAATTTGAAGGGTGAAACTAAACGGTTGTATGGATGCATACATGCCGAAGATACCGCGATGAGCGATGATCGATGACCGGTAAGCATCAAGAGATATAGTAGGTCGATGATTGATTATTGGTGCACATATCAAAGATGTGTCAAACAATGTTGCCAGATAATTTTACTGTTTTGTATTTCACAATATATCTCAAACGTTCTCTTAGCTTATTTTAAAAAGTGTCATTAAAGCAAAAAATACAACTGATATACTGATCAGAGCAACTAACCAACTGTGGAACTTTCTTGCTGGTTAGTGAGTGTATTATCTTAAAGAAGGTGGTTATATCAAAAGCACCTTCTATGTTTATGAAAACACCCAAGGCTTATTGTTCAAGGATCTCTTTATCCGGCCAGGAACTAGGTGATGGGCTGAATCGGTAGATCTGCCTGAGGTGTATGCATGTTGTAATCACCACATTCCTTATGTAGCTTTCGCATAGCCTTTCCAATGTCTCCATGGAAAACGATTTCAGACTAATTCGGTAAGTTTTTGGGATAGTGTAATACATCCTTCCAGGTTTTACCTCTCTCCATTTTTTTAGAATATACCTCGAAGCCAACGTGGATCTGAATATACCCACCAGGTGCAGTGTGAGTTCTTCCAGACTCCACTGAAGTAGGGCTGGATAGATACCATCAGGTCCTACCGATTTAAATGAAGAGAAGCTGGATATTGCCCATATAATTTTTTTCATCGTCTACAATGAAGCCTTACTGCCTGCGGAAAATCTTTGATTACTTCGCAGTAGGATCTCCATGCATCTTTCTGTTTTTGTGTAACGATTTTTTTGTATTATCTGAGGTAAGATTTATAAATATTCCTATCCTTTTTAAGTTTTGTGGTTCTGGTCTTATTAAAACATTTCTTAGCCATCTTCCTGAGATAATCCAATTTGTGACACCACTATGAGGTAGTCGTCCGATCGTGTGGCACCAGCCTCAGGGGGGCAAGATTTCATACAGACATTTTTTATTGTAATTAGTGTTTAGTTTTCATGTTATTTCTTGGTCGTACAGTATATGTTTTCAGAATTCACGGATAGTGACAGAATTTCTTGAACCGATATTTCCAGACCATGTTTCGATTAAGTTACCTCCAAGATCATCAGCTTTATCACCAAATGATTTGTTTTTGTGGGGGTTTCTAAAGAGACCGTGTATCAACACGCTTTTGAGAGAAAGAACAACAAATTTAGATAGAAGAGGCAAACAATTATGCAAAACATTACACCAGATCAACTCAGAGATTGTTTGGCACAGCATGAAGGTTTATTTGAACCATTAAATTCGTTAGATATGTTATTTTTGTATTTTGTTTTTTTTTTATTCTATGAAATTATTTCAGTAGGAGCTGCGGCACTTGAGCCTAAGAAAATTTTAACTGTCAAATTTGTTCTTTGATGTCTAACCGCAAAGGACTATTTGTTTGTTGATTTTTTTTAGAATTTGATGTTATTTTTTTGCAAGAATGTTTTTTTAAGACCGTTATGGTAAAAGAAAACCACGATTCCTATTAATTTCATAAGAGAAATAGCTTACCTTCTACCGTTAGTTTTCAAGAAATTTTTGAACACCCTTGTCTCAATACGTATCTATTATGATGTTGGTTATTTCTTTTTTCCCATCTTGCTGAGCTTCACAAAACGAAATCTATTAAGAAACAAGTCACAAGAATTATGTACAATGTACCTAACCTACACAGCGGACAGGTCCGCTCTATGACGCCGTACTACTACTACCGCTACCGGCAATGTCAAACAAGAAACAATTTGAAGTCGACAGCCAATTGCACTCAAAATTTCAAGATACCCATCGATGAAAACTCATTCTGTATCGCTGTTAATATCGTTGTAAATATCGCTGTAAGCATCGATGGTGGGAGGGTGTGCTAATCTTATAAATAAGTACATTTTGTAGTACCTCGATTGACATCCACTTAACCATCTCCTATTATTGGTTATTGATTATTGCTCATCGAGGCATCGTCGGCAAGTACGCACCCTAAGCTTCTTTACTAGTGGTAGCGTCATTCCGGCTGACTTAAGACTTTCTTATCTTTTCCAAAATATATTTCTAAAACTATTTGACTTGTAGACTATTTGAGGATCGTTTGATTTGAAATTCGATCGAACGAGAGTCGAGGAGACCTAGAAGTTATGATGTCACAAAAGAGCATTGAATTAAATCAAATAAAACTTTTTGAGATTCTTGTTTCTGGTTTGTGTATCAAAAGTTAAAAGTGAAGAAAATTGAAAAACTTTAAATAATAAGGAACAATGGCCCAGAAATGTAGCTTGTTACCACAAATGTCAGCTTCACTTTAAAACGCCATGAATATGATTACTGGTCAATAATTTTAGCTATAAGACAAAAGCGGTTAAGTAATTTGTTGATTTCTTGTCTGGTCTCGAATTTTGAGATTCAAGTTTGTTTATATGTTAATTAAAAAGAGATACAAAGCCAAATTTCTCCCTCTTCTCGGTCTTTTTGCTCTGAGAACATCGAGCTCGTTCTATATTCTCACTTCAAAGCGAAACAAACACTTTTGGGATCGCTCGGAGTGTCAATTTAAACACGTTTACAGCGTTCGGAGATCTCCGATGATCAAATCAAACGCACCATTGAATACACGATAACCCGTAAAATAAACTTTCTTAGTTAAGTATCACTTAGGCATAAGTTGTAATTAAATAAAAAACCGAATTTCCGGATGACCTGAGATAAAAACAATTTTACATTGTTGATTTATTTGAATATTAAATTTCGAATCCTACCTCGGTGATCGAAAATTTCTAATTTTTAAACAAACTACTGATCAGCACCATCTAGGAAAACATACATGTTAGCCGGGAAATTGAAGTAAATAATAAGTCGCATACGGATTGTTTCTAAGTGTTAAAATGCACAGATTACTAACCGATTGTAATAATAGTCCGTCAGATAGTGACAGGTTTAGGTGCCTCATTTTCGCATACAAGCCTCGAAGAGGGTTGAAAAGTACATCGATTTTAAGTAGAATAAAAGGAAATTTACAAGTGGCTGCTGGGGATAACACATGGAAAATTCGATTTTCCTTAACAAAAATGAAAGGATATTTGTTGCCCATTTTTCCAGGCAAGCCGTTTTCACTACATGATTAATTAATAGAACTAGGCTTCAGCAAACCAAAGGCTTTAATGTTGCAAGTGGCTAAAGGGTTGAAATAAGGGCGTAATCTTCTAAGGAAAAATCGAGATTTTGTCCGATTTTTCCACACAAGCCCATCGAATGTATGAAAACGTATGTCGTCACTAGTCCGAAAAACATATTTTCTTGAATGCCCCGAAGGTATAAGTACATTTTGAGGTCGGAAAATTTTTCTGATAAAGAAAATCGAATTTTCCTTGTGTTATCCCCAAAGCCACTCGTAAATTTTCTTTTATTCTACTCAACATCGATGTAGGATCTTCGAGACTTGTATTCGAAAATGGGGCACTAAAATTGGTCACTGTCTGACGGTCTATAAGTAAACTTGGTTATCATTCAAAATGTTAAGAAATGTCATTATGTAGAAGTGGCTAAAGTACCAACCGAAAGCATTTAAATTTAACAGCCAACTCCAATTATGATTCTTCTCGATAGCTCGTTATAACTGTTCAAAATATACGAGGACCTTTGAGTAGCACTGTGTAACTGTATTAAACATTTACAATCTAGTAGTATTTATTTTCTTATATTTCAGGACTATTTGCGTCTTACCACTCTTTTCCAGACAGGCCGGCAGAATCAAATGATTATTGTGGAACAAAGTAAAACATTTTTTTTTATTGTTTTGTTGATAAAGACGTTGTTACCATAATTTATACAATTAAATAAATAATTTAGACATCTCCTCAATAAGTTTTTTCTTAACACTACATCAATAAGAACCTACCATTGCAAGTTAGACTGTGATGTTATACAAATGTTTATACTCCATAAAATAATCCTTTATGTATTAAAAATTACCCCGATCAATATTGGTAATATTTGTTTGAATTTATTTATTATGAAAGGGGATACCTAAATATCGAATCCAGTTATAAATTTATCTAATATGAATGGAGTATATAAATTTAAAACATTTTTGTGAATTTAATTTTTTTTATCTACTCATTTGCCAGAGATATTAAATTTTTTAAAATTTATAGCGTAGCCGGGAATAGGAACTAGCGACACAACGTTGCCGGTTAGACGGTATACGAGACGTTTGTTTATGTGCACCGTCTTACTTTTAGACTTTTAAAATATCGTTAAACAAATATCTGTTTTCTACGTTCATGCAAAAAACAAAACTTTATTGAACTATATTTAGTGAAAAAACTGGGTCTTTATTGCACTAGTGCAATAAAAATTTTATTTGTGTATTGTGTCAATAATTATTAAATTTTGTATGTTTTTATAAATATCTATCCTTTCTCCATGTTATGAGTACGAAAAAGTAGGTTCTTTCGTTCGCTGTTGGTGCAGAGTACACCAGTGTCAATTACCCAACTTTATTTATCTGGTTTACTTCCTCCTTATTCCTTATAAACATTTCAACTGTAATTCACTCCTGTTAAATAGGTGGTGGAGAAAATAACCACCAGTGGACACCACATCGCCGACAGGAAGGTGTAGTGGATTTTACACCGGGCTAAACGAAAGGTTTAGTGTCCGTTGGTGTAGTTCATTCCTACACCAGTGGAACGAACAAAAGAACCTATTGGTTTCTCCCAAGATGTGATAATGATTTACATTCATTATTAAAAATATTTATTAGAGTTGCTAGAAATATGAAAAGAAGAAAATTATGATTAGGTATTACACAGCAACGCTTCAAGCAACAGCTAACTTATTGTGAGGTTTGTATCTATACTCTTTATTAAAATGAAAATGTTTTATTGTAATGTATTGGACTTTAGTTACCTACCATTGTAGTAACGATGTTTTTTTTTTTAGATACCAGATGATTTTGAAAACAGTTAATTTTTTAAATGATGGATCAACCTTTACATATTAAGGAGTGGGTAGTACCACATAAATGTCTCCAAAGTTCTTGTTACTTACCACAAGAGCCAGCTCGGTGATTCTACTAAAAAAAGGAAAAAAAGAAAACATAAAAAATGTCTTCTAAAAAGTTGACTGGAAAATAACCTACTGGAGGTGTTTTTCATCTCTATTTAATAAAAATATACCGCATCTTCAAGATGCAGCAGCAATTTCTGACATTGTCCCTTTCAGAAAATTAAAAATGAGCCTACTGTAAGTTTGAAGGTGTATAACCTAAAAACCCTTCTGCAAGAATATCCAGAACCTCCTAAAAGTTTTAAAGATAGTGAAGTTTTGCCTGAATCAGAAAAAACATATTTAATATCTGATTCAGAGGAACTTAATAATAATGAGCATAATCTTTAAAAACAATGAAAAAAATAAGTCTTGTTCGTACACCTGTAGGTCGCGGACGTGTGCAAAAAGTGGTTTGTGGTAGCTCAGATAAGTAAAACTGATTTATTTACCTTCTACATTTTAAATATATTTTTGAGAAATCGAATTTAATAAAATTGAAATGTAGCTTAAAATAATGGGTGAAAATACGAGCGGCGATCCGCCCCCCATTGATTTAAATAGGGAATATCCGGAAAATTCAAAAAAGGAATTTAACTAAGACCTTAATAACAGATATCTTGTTAGTGATCCAGACCCATTTTACGTACATATCGAGCACAGGGAAAAAAATATAGGAAGAGTATTTCCTATTAAAATCGGTAATTTTTTGAGAACTAATGATGATTTTCGTTATAATATTATAGATATGAAACCAATTGGTATAAATAGAGTTAAAATCGTTTGCAAAGATTATAAAATTGCTAATTTGTTGATAGAACATGATTTAATAACACAAAATAACTTAGTTGCTTACATACCGATCTTTTTCAGACAAAAAGAAAGGCGTGATCAAAATGGTAGACACTTTTTTTAGCGAGGATAATATTGAAGAGGCGATAGAATCAATAGTTACAGCCGTGTCGGTTAAACGCATGAAAAGAAAAGTAATTAAGAAACTAAAGAAGCAATTTTTGTAAATTTTAGTAAAAACATTCTTGGGAAACAAAATCTCTAATTCTGTAAAAATTAAAATGGTCAATTTTATAATTGAACCTTACATCTATCTTGTAGTACAATGTTATAACTGTCTAAGGTACGGACATAAAAACAAACAATGCAAGGGAAAAAGGAAATGTCTAAACTGTAGTAAGGAATCTTGCACAAACGCAACGTGTGATGTAAATAAAAAAAAAATGTTTATACTGTAATAGTACGGAACATACATCGATTTCTATGCAATGTCCAATGTACAATAAACAAAAAAATATAAAAAAAGTTATGGCATCAGATAATTTATCTTTTAATGAAGCGGATGCTATAATAAATAACCCCTCTTATTCCAAAGTGGTAACAAATAACAAATTCGCATTACTAGCCAATGATGAAAATTTCCCTATTCTGACTCAAAATAGCTACTATAATACCCAAAGAAGTTATGTACCAAAATAAGTAAAAACTCCTATTCACAATCAAGTAGATCTAAAAAGCCAAAATCTGCGTCCCCATTACAAAGCCCTGAAGTTGCATCAGCTTCTAGACCCTTATACCCAAAAAGACCAATTATCCCTAATCCTTATAGAGAGAACCCCGAAAAATCTAAAGATATTATTATAGAAAATTTAGTTCAACACATACATTCAATTTTAGTAAAAGAATCTCTTATTAGAGACCTTTTCTCTAACCTATATAGGGATACTTTGTTTTTAATATTAGAACCGGAAAAAAATTATAAAGAAATTGACTATAGTGATAATGAATCAATTTATGAACAAACTCAAAATAGTACAAAATAGGTCAATTAGTAAACAATACCCCTCATTAATTTAATATTTACATACCAACGAAACAGATATTATTTTATTATCCGAAACTTGGTTAAAAAAAATAGTAATTTTAGTATCAAAGGTTTTAATACAATTCTTAAGAACAGAGATGATTTATTCGGTGAAGTAGCTATTCTAGTATCAAATAATATTACTTTTAAGGAAATAACAGTATGTAGGTCTTTAAATAAAAACATGGAAGTTTGCGCTAGAAGATTAGAAAAATCTAATTTAACAATTGTCAGCTTGTATAATCCATCCAAAAATAACAATATCACATCTAATGATTAGGAAAATCATTTTTCATAATTTCAAGCACCATTTTTGATATGTGGAGATTTCAATACGCACCACACACTCTGGGGGAGCAATCAAAATGAAAGAAGTGGTAATGTTCTTATAGATACTTTGGATAATCTTAACTTGGTAATATTGAATGATGGATCTCCCACAAGAATAACCGCCCCCAACTCTCCTCCCTCAGCCGTAGATTTATCTAACATTTCACCAGATTTAATTGGGTTGGTAGAATGGAATATCCATTCCGACACCTTAGGATCAGATCATTTCCCTATCCTCATTAATATTACCAGCTCATGTGAATCTAAAAAAATTACACCAACTACAATCTGGAATGAAAATAAAGCTAACTGGGACAATTTTGAAATATATCTATCCAATTTTTTTTAAAAACAATGGGGAAGACTCTTATTCTTTTAAGTTTTTTACTAAAATACTGGCACAAACTGCTGATTATTCTATGCCAAGAAAAAAATACGGAACGATACAAAAACCCTTCCGGTATGGTGGGATCCCGAATGTAACAACATTATTAAGTTAAGAAAACTTGCCCTCAGTAAATACAAACAAAACTCTAAATTTCGTAGAATATAAAAAAACGGAAGCACAGGCCAAACTTATTTTTAAAAACAAAAACATTTTTTTTTATTTGGTGTCATCGGCATCAACTACTACGGTTATTAGCTCGTGTTCTGTGTAATTTGAGCTGGAAAAAATTCATAAATAACCTTAATAAAAATACCCCAATAACTACTAGATGGAACCAAATCAAAAAAATATCAAATAAAAACTATTCTACAAAAAAAAAACATAATTTCAGATAATTTAATAGAAAAATTATTCGAAATTGTCAGCCCTCCTTTCACAGTATATGACGTTCAAATGAACTTATCAGACAGAAAGATTTATGAAGAGCGATTGGAAAACCTCGATCGTCGTCTGCGGGATAAATAGTTTTAGTTACGAAATGATCCGTAGACTAACTCAGAATGCTAAAAAATCTTTTAGGAATATATAACGCCTGGTGGATTAATAGAAAAATCATTGAGGAATTTAAAGAAATTATTCTAATATTTTTGAAAAATTGTTACTGTTCGACAACCCTAATGACCTGAAATAAATATGTTTTTACCATAAGGTGTATTGCCCCATATAAACTGTACCTACTATTAAACAAATTATAAATAAAGTGTTACATACCTTTCTGTCTTAAGATGCCTAACTTTGGCACTTAAAAACTGAGTATTGTTAAAAAATGCAGTAATCATATTTTCGTTTACAATAGGAAAAACACTTGAATCAGCTTTTATAAATCAAGCTGACTAACTCAAATTATTAATAAAATTAAACCAATTAGCAAAGACAAAAGAAATAAAACAAAACAACGAATGTTAGGTTAGGTGGTCTAGGTGGTGTCAATTTTCAAGTGTCACTAAGATATGCGTTCACTTCAAAATTCTATGTCGGTTTATTCGTTGACTTGGTTCTCTCTAATAAACAAAACTTCGACACAAGCTGATTGGTCTATTCCCGATGTGCACATTTTAAATTTTAAATTATTAATTTACTTTAAAAACTTTTGGCTTTTTTAACAAACTGATTATGTAGAATAACTTGTATAGTGACTATTACAATATAAATTTTAAA